TCCTCAATCTGATGGTAAAATTGAAAAAAAATGGTCCTCACTCTGAGGGCTAGACAGGTACACACACACACACTAAACGCTTCAGTTTGAAATAAATATTTTGGTATTTTGTAGTGTTGCAGTGATGCCATTTTTTTGGCCCCGATACCTGGCTGATTATTGGCCAATACCATACCGATACCACTGTTTGAAATTGATGTGTCTATATGTGAAGAACTGCATATTACTTGGATGTAAAATAATTGTCATCATGGCTTTGTCAAGCTGCTGCCTACCTTTGGGAAGCAGGAAAAAGACTAATACAAAGTGAATCCAGTAGAACTTTTTATTGCCTACCTGGGATGGTTGACAATTAACTGAATAAACTTTTGGCTCTCAAAACCGTATCGGTGCTCTATTTGTTGGTACTCTTCGGTACCGATACCACCATTTTAGTGCAGTATCAGGGCCCTGGCTGATACTGGTATCAGTGCAATACTAGCATTTTGCCATTGGTAAACCTCATTATGCCCCTTCCTGCAACAGGTACTTAACTTTAACAACAAATAAAAAAAAAAACACTTTTATATGCATGTCTGCTCGCGCCACACATTCTGAACACAAACCAGAGTTTTGATTTATCAGCACAGCCCAAAGAAACGTGAGGGTTAAACAGTAACTTACAGTGAAAGTCCTTGCTGCAGGAGATAACACACCTCATGTGGTTCTTCCTCCTGTAAGCTTCTGTTTGGCTCCCTGAGCACCATGTATATCACCGAGACGTTCAAGTCACACACACCTCATATCTGGCTGTGCAGTGAGTCAGCATGCCAACCACAGATCCAGCTGACTGGATGCAGTAGCTACCAAACAGCCTTTAAGAATGTCTAAGGGAATCTAGAAACCAACTTGGAGGCTGAAATAGACTAAAACAAACATATTCAAACTTAAAAGAGAACAACCAGGAGGTTTCTCATTGCTCACATGCTGGTGTTGCACGTGGTGCGCAAAAATATGGTGATTCGTCTATTTATTTTCCGTTTGAGGAAGAGGAAAGAGGGAGGAGGCCGTGTCATCTCTGTAGGGGGGAGTGCTGTACAGTGGAAAATAGCCCCCACTGCTAATCCATGCCAGGCTAATTACAGCTTTGATCCTCTGTGTGTGTGTCTGCATCACCAGCAGTAGGAGGGAGCTAACAAACTGTTGGGGTTCGATACAGTAACAAAGAGGTTTTAGTTTACACATACCTCAGTATGCTCCAACCTCAGTATCAGTCAGCTTAAATACATTATACACCTGTTACCGACTATACAAAAGGTTAATCTGAGTCAATCATACAAACAAGGTCCTGTTGCTGCAACTACCAAATCAATGCAAACTACAAACAATTGTATTTTAAAAGCTTTCCCCTCGACGTTGGGATGAATAGATTACAGCTCTGAGCTGCACATGGAACTTAACTCCTGCAGACTGGGACCCAGATTAAGTGGGTAAATGGAGTTTTTGTCTAAAATAGACCACGGATCTGATGATAGCCTTGTCCCAATACACATGGCAGCAGAGATGCAGCAAGGAGGGAGGAGGAGGAAGGCGGCTGAGGATGAGCAGCAGATGGCATGGAATTATCTAGATCTTCAGCTTTGCATCTTTTGTCCATTACATCATTATTATAGTGACAGCCTATCAATGTAGAGTGGCGTTACTTCGAGTCAAATCGAATTAATTCACTGGTTTTAGTTTTTAAAGGACGACAGGGGACTATTAGACAATGTGGCTATGATGCATTTCTGTTGAAAGAAGCACTGCCTGAAGGTCCCTTTCTCATCCTGAACGGTCGGGGGTCTGCTTGGTTGGGCAAACATGAGTAATGTGCTTTAAAAGAGCTGCCAATCGAATGTCCAAAACGCCACATGAAAGTGCATGGTCACATTTATTTAAAGAGACAGTGAGAATTTCAATGTCCCATAACTGATTTGTTAGTAAGACTTCTCATTATAAAATATTCATATCCTATTAATAGTTTTTAATAGGTTTGCTGTGCTTGATGAGATCAGAAGCTTTAATAGCGTTTATGCGATAGACCAAGATAAATGTGGTGAAATAAGAAGTTAACAGTTCTGTTTTTTGTCGTTTCCCCAAATGAAAAGCATGGTGTGAATTTTCTCATCCAACTTTAGCCATCTGCAAACTCATCTTCAAACATTGAGTTCAGTCAGATCAGATCAGGAGAGTAAATGATCATTTTAAAATCCTGGATCTGATTCTAGGTGGAAATTAAGACAAAAACAGGCTTTAATTGGAACCATTTCATAGTAGCTCTGGCTGCATTTTTAGGACTGTTTCCTGCTCTAAAGGTGGCTTAAGGCTGATTGATACTCAGAAACCAGGTTGTCTGCGTGTGTCGCAGTGAATGCAAATGTGCCCCTGTCCCAGACACTCCGCTGCACCTCTCCCAAATTGTAAGTGAGGCCTCTGATTGGTCAAATCTACATCTGCTCTACACTATGCTTATTTCCTGTTTGGTACCTTACCGGCTTGTTTTGTTTTTTTGACCGCCATTGTGGAAAAAGGCTTGTGAAGATGGACCAAATAGAAAGCGAGGTGAACAAGAACGCTGGGACCCTTTTTCAACCTGGATCCCCGCTCTTTTTCGCTGGCATGTGACCCCGTTGTCGTACAAACTTGCCCCCATTTCCTCACTGCCTCTACCGTATCTATACCTACAGCTAGTTTGCGATTGTCCCTTTTGCGTTGTGGTGTAGAATAACAGCGCAGACAACGCTTCAATATTGGGCATAGATCAAAAATATCTGTGACAGGCTCAATGCGGGGAGTATAACCAGCCCTTTAGTGTATAGCACCATCAGTTTTCCCATTTTATTTCACTGCTTTCTTGTCCCAGCTCAAAAGATGGTGTCCCTATAGCATGATGCTAATGGCACTTTATCTTTGCCTGTGGCATAAAATTTCTCTAAAAAAATGATTACAGTTGTGATTTACCTGTAAAGTTACTTTTTTGCCTTAAGGCGTAAAATACAGGCATGCTGGCAAAGGATCTCCTCTAGATTCTGGGGTAAGTTAACTAGTCTAAATGCTAGCTAGATTTGGACATAACTTTCATTTGCATACTTTTTTTCAGTGCATCTCCCTCTCTTTTTGCCAAGGGTTGGATGGCAAAAGGTTTCACTTCAGTACATCGGTCTCTAATCAACCCTTCCTTCTCGTTTCCTTGGGGTAGGGAGGAGTTACCTCATGCATAGGATAGGTCTCGCACTGGTATTCATCATAGAGTGTAATATGTGAGCCCAGTACGGAGTAGCAGTCAGGGAAACGGTATCAAGACTTTAAAAAAAGACACTGAGTTTGTCTTAAAGCCCAACAGGACAGAGGAACTGGGGGTGCGCTTTGGATTTCAGTCAAATGATGGTGATGATACCCAAACATGGACAAGCCAGTATTTCCCATTCATTTTAAAGCAGTAGCAGCTTAGAGCGGCGGTACAACAAAATCAATTTTACAGTTTTATGAGCTACGAAAATAACTAAAACCAGTGGGCAGCCTCAGGAATAAAAAACAACTAAGACATACAGGTCTTGTACAACAAACTTGAGGATCTCAACGATTTTAGGGGTTGTGTGTTATTTTTATTGCCATCTTACTGATTTTCTTTAGTTTTCATGCTTGTGTAGGTTTTTGTTAAAGACCGAGTGTCAATTTTACTGATTGTTTTTCATTGATTTAATTATTTATTTGGGATGTTGAAAACATTTTCCAGTTCCCTTATTCTCTAGATATTAAAGTTTACTGATCATTGAGAGGGCTCATGTGTATTTTCCAAATTTTCATATTTTTCAGATATGAAATTCCAGAGCTCTCAGTCTATTTCATACTTATCTCATCAATTTACAATATTTCAAAACTGGTCATGCTTTAAAAATGAAGAATGCAAGGAAGGAAGAAAGGACAAAAGGAGGGATGACATGTGCTACACATGATTTCAGGATTGATTAATAGGCAGATGGCTAGATGAAATGATAGATAACAAATAAATGGATGGAAGGATAAATAATGAAACAATGGGTAGATGGGCGGGTGGTCACTTAATCCTGGAAGAATGATAGAAATACAAATAGATGGAATAATAAATGGATCTGTAGGCAGACAAATGGATGAACGAATGAATCCAGAGGTAGATGTGAGTAAGAATGGCTGAAAGATGGGTGAATATTTTGTAAAACAAATGAAGCCATGGGTGAATATTTTGTAAAACGGATGGATGAGTGAATATTTTGTAGGATGGATGGATGGATGAGTGAATATTTTGTAGGATGGATGGATGGATGGCCTGTTAGACAAACTGACAAATGATAAGATTAATAAATGGATGGATTCATGGATGGATGAATATTTTGGAAAACGGATGGATGGGTGGACAAACTGACAAATGATTAGATTAATAAACAGATTATTTGAATACACAGTTTTCTCACAAATATACATAGGGTGAAAAAAAATACAACTAGACTTTTCTAGACTTGGATAAGAGGCAACTTTAGGGTAGCATCCATAGAGGAAAAGAAGCATGTTATTTGTTCCCTACAGTGGAGTTATAACTTTAAGGTCAGTGTTATGACTTATCATTGAAGGCTGTGATTCAATCAGCAGAAACTTTGTTGATGTATCAAACATAACCACACACACGTAGACGACATGAGTGCTGCACCAAACAGGATACCCAGCAGGTAAGATGAGAGAAAAGTCAAGCTTCCGCACGTTTTTTTTTTTTTTCTTCAAAATAAGGCGGTTAGCTTTACCACTTGTTCGGGCATCAAACACACACCTATATATTTATATGTATATAAAATTATCTAGGTGGAGAGTACTGTGCTCCACATTAGCCATCAACAGGCGGTGTTTTAACTTGAAACAATGAAGCTATCTAACCAGTTATACCGACATACGCAGCACCGTTAGCCAGTTAAGTGTTAGCTAACGATTAGTTTAAAAGTGCCACGACAAACCTGAGCCTGAACCCCAGCGTTAGCTGCCTTAGCTCGGCTCGCATACCGTTAGCATGCCTCTTCTTGTCGGCAGCTGCTGGACATCCCCGCTTTTCATCAGTCGTGACCAGGCCAAGGTTCGGTTAACTGAAGCAGACTGTCGGCAGCCGGGCTCCAACCCCCCGGGAGCATCCGGTCTCCTGTTAGCCGTCCTGGCTCAACCTGACGCGGAGGAAGCCTCCTGGCTCGCTGCGGGTTAACATCCAATACAGTGCTGATGATGTTCCAAGTCACCAGCAAAGCCCTCATTCACTGACTGACTGACTGTCTACCTGGGAAATTGTCTGCTTTTTCCTCACCTTGAGGGTAAATGAATACTCACTTGGGCAGCAGAATGGTAAAGGCGCCGTAACACATTAATAAGGAGGCAGAGGGGCTGTTTGCTTAAGGCGGTCACTCTCAGGTCGGGTACTTTTCCTCCCAATGATCCCTGTGTCTCCGAGCTTCAAATGATCTCTCCACACTGCAATGGTGCTGAAAGACAGAGCAATACGATTGGCTGGACGGAGCGGAACTCCGCAGCCTGCAGGGGGAGAAGCGGTGATGCGTTTACGGCGGTGGGAAAACTCATGACCAGAATTCCAAGTCTTTAAAAATATAGCACAGGGGTCTTCAATGTTTTCCAGGCCAAGGACCCCCAAACTGATGGAGCGTGTACCCCCTAATTATATATTGTGTTATATCAAACTGGTGCTATAGTCACTTTATTAAAGATGTCCATCCATCCATTTTCTGACATGCTTAATCCCAATTGGGGTCGCGAGGGGTGCTTGTGCTGTCTACGGGCGAGAGGCGGGGTACACCCTGGACAGATTGTCAGTCCATCGCAGGCAACAGGACAAACAATCATTCACACACACACTCAGAATTAAGAGAAGCCAATTAACCTAACAGTCATGTTTTTCGACTGTGGGAGGAAGCCAGAGTACCCGGAGAGAACCCATGCATGCTCAGGGAGAACATGCAAACTCCATGTAGAAAGACCCGGGGCCGGGAATCAAACCCGCAACCTTCTTGCTGCAAGTGCTATCCACTGCGACACTGAGCAGCCCACAGATGGAGTCATGTAAAAAAAAGTAATTTCTCCCTGGGATTATTAAAGTATTTCTGATTCTGATTCCTGGTTGATGGGACAGGTGTTGTGAATGAAACAGTGTCCAGCTTAAAAGAGCTCCTCTGTGTCGCTGAATGTGTGCATTGATGACTGAAAGACATCATCTGCCTCCATTTATCTGTTTACTACAGTGTGTTGCATTCATATTAATGTGTATTTGAAGACATTTCAATTAGTGGTCTAATCTTAAAAAAGTCTAATCAACCAAAACTTTGGCGACCCCCATGCAGTACCTCCATGGACCTCCTAAGGGTCACAGACCCTCTGTTGAAGACCTCCGATATAGCATAATAAGAATGAATATATAAAATTGAGTAAAAGTGTTAAACACCAATATTCTTGAACAAAAAAAATGTCGGATTGAACTGCCAATCTGATGAAAATATTTATTAATTTCGAGAAGACATATACATTTCTTTAAAAAAAAAATTAATAAATGAAAATCTCAAAACTGCGCACACTTCTGTACCACCCCAGTTAACCAAAATAAAACCGTGTCGGTGAGGAAAAACAAAAAGGCATAATAAATCTAGTTTACAGTGAAACTTTCTGTCTAAATGCGGCTCATCTTTGTTTAAAGTCATAAAAATTTTATATTTGGTTTAAATTTTCTCCTTCACCTATATATTTTTTATTTGAAAATATTTGGGGACAACGCCTTAGGGGTTGTCCAACTAAGTGGTGTACAGACAAAACATTTCTTTCTTCTTTCCATTTTTTTATGTTATTGGTTCAACACTAATTATTTCAGGAAACTAAGTTGAATTTAAGAAAAACTGAAGGGCAAAAGAGAGGAAGAAGGCAAGGAGGAGGACACTAACCCCACTTGAAGTACAGAGGTGGGAGTATCATGCTGCATACTGCACAGTGCCAATGTAAAAGTGCTGAATATTTGCATGTACAGTTTGCGAAGGGTTAGCAGGAGCATTTAGTAGCCACATTCAGTATACAAATTCCTTCAGGGAGAAATTAAAACAAAGGTAAACAAGTAATATTTTTTGTGATTGCTTTCACACTGTCTGTATCAATAACTTAACAATGCTATTGAAACAGCAATTTCTTGGCTTCCAGCAGATATAGACTCCATGGGGGAAAAAATCTTTTAAGTAAACATAGCTAGTTAGAAGATGGTGGTCTAGGCTAGTAATTTAACATCTAACTGATCTGTAAAGGCTTAATCCAAGTTTTTGATGGTATCCTACATCTTCTCTTCTTTTTTTCCTCAAGTATGCTATGAGACAGGAAAGGGGCAAATCATCAAGAGAGATCATGATTCAAAATATTGGAATAAGCCCATAATTCCAAAAAACATATATATGGTGATTAAAAAACGGTTTTATTTGTTAATAAATTGCTGTTGCAACTGTCCCTTGTGTGATTGTTCCCATATATAGAAACAGATGTATTATCTTACAACCACTTTTCGACCGAATGTTAGTCCTGCTTGCTTCACATCAGGCTGTAATTCTGTTGGTGTATAGGGGACAGATGTGAAATTACAATGTTTAAACATTACCATTTAAAAATAAATATATTTTGTGAGAAATCGAGGGAAAAAGTAAAAACTTCTGCAACCATTCCCACTCTCACCTTGTCATTACTGACCTACTTTTATTTATCATTATTAATCATTAAGCATAAAATTTATATTTACATGTACTAATAAAATAATTAAAAAGAAATTGCCATTATTTGCTCACATTGTCAATGATTCTTTGTAGTCTTTTTTTGTTCAGTTAGATTGTCAGTGTTAATGTAATATAAAAAATGTTATGGTTTAAAATGTTCATGTTTTACCATGAGTTGTAGGCTCCTTGGTGAACAACAAGGGGGAATAATAATAATAATAATAATAATAAAAAAATAAAATAAAATAAACTGTAACTCTGCCATTGTGCTTCTTTATGGTTCATTTTGCCGGTCCCAAGCCCGGGTAAAGGAGGAGGGTTAGTATTGTAATAAAATAAACTTTAATTAGAAAAAATAAATAAATAAACATTAATGGACGGAAAAGTAACTCTATATATTCGGAGTGTTTTTACTCACTTTTTCTCTTTGTTTCTGTTATTTCTTGTACATCATCTCTTGTGGCAGATTATGCAAATTAGGCAATGGCGTCATTTCACGACTTCTAGCGCCGCCAATAGCTACTTTCCTAACTGAGGAGTTGGCAACATTGACCTTTAACCTCACACTGCTCCCCACGCGCCGCACAATGGCTGCTCCCCAACTGGATTGGTGGAATGCAGAGTTAATAATTTCGTTGCTCTGAACTTGTAATAGTGTCCTGACAATAAAAAGCTGTAACAAAAAATAAAATCATGCATATTAAAAATTCTAATTGCAGAAAATCAAACTAATTATGAGCGCTGAAGTCATTATTAAATAAAAGTTTTACTTCTCCATCACAAATCGGAAGAAGAGTTTCTGACGTTCGGGTAAAATGCGCAATTCTCCACCGGAAATCAGCTTTTCTTTCACTTTCGTTTTCGAGCATAATGGAGAATCCCCTTTCTTTCTCTCAAAGTTTCATTTAGTCTACAATTTCAGGGGTTGTAACACGTCATCCGTGTTTTTTTTTTAAGCCTCATTTAGTCTCAAGAAAGGAAATTTGCCTGCATATATTAAGATTAAAGTGCGTTTCCTTCCGTCATCCATCCAAACGGAGCTGATAGTTCTTTGTCTCCATCGCAGTCTGCTGGTTAAACCCGTTAGGTGAGTTTTATGTCAAAGAATATGTCTGTTTGCCACCTGGATCCTAAGTCTGTTTGTTGAAGTGCTGTGTTTATCTCCAACAGCTGTTGAAGCGGCAACATGTCCCCTTCTAGTGACAGTCACCTCCTGGCGATCAGCGTCTTAGCGGAGGATCTGAGCTGCGGGGAAAGAAGGAAGGTGATCTACCTCTGTGGGAGCTTATCCACGGACTGCAGCGTGGATCGTGTCAGGGAGGCTTTAAGTTTCGGCGTGGATCACCACGGAGAGCCTCCCCTCTTCATAATGTCCGTCCTTTTGCTGCTGGGACGGAATGACATCTTAAAGAAGGTGTATAAAGTTCGAGGAAAGGAGGCAGAAAGTCAGATTCGGACACATGGACAAATCCTCCCGACATTCAGGTAACATAAACCTCCTGATTTCACTTCCTTTCAACTGCAATAGTTTAAATGACGCCGTGTTTTCTTTTTTTGCAGAGTACTAATTGTTACTTTAAGTGATGAAATGGACACGGACGACGTGAATCAAATCAAATTCTTATTAAGCAAGACTCTAACCCGTGAAAAACTAGACAATTCAAAGGTAAAAAGATTATTATTGCCTTTAGGCTGAGCGTGGGTGTGTGCGTGGGCGGGATATAAATCCCCATGACTCTACACTTCTGCTATGGGAAACTTTCGGTTTATCTGAAATATTATCTTAACACGTAATGTTTCTGTTTTGCAGACGTTTTTAGACGTGGTGATTGAACTGGAGAAGTTGGATTCCGTTTCACCTGAAAGAGTAGATCTTCTAGAGAAATGTTTACACCATATAGGCCGCTTGGATCTGGTCAAAAAAGTGGCTGCTTACAAGATTTCAGGTATTTATAGAAGTAGTATTTAACAAGACTCACGTGACTAAAAGGTGCTTTGTGGTTCCTACAGTTAAAGGGAACAGAAATTAAATTAAAAAAAATCTATGCTTCCAATCCTGACTTGAAATGGTTCATTAACAATAATTGAACTTTTGTTGATCTCACATTAGAGAAATTTACCTCTGCATTTAACCCATCCCCTTTGGGGAGCAGTGGGCTGCCATCGTAGGGCGCTGGGGAGCAGTTTTGGGTTAAGGGTCTTGCTCAGGGACCCAGAGTTGCAGTTTGTGGGAGTGGGGCTCGAACTCAGAACCTCAGGATTCCTAGCTCTATGCCCTAACCGCTAGGACACCACTCTCAACTCCTGCATCATGCAGGAGATAATTATATGTGAAGGATTTCAAGTATATTATTATGAGATTAAGAAGGAGTGTTTGCCTAGTGGTTAGAGGAGTGCGCTTGTGTCTGAGAAAGTTGCATGTACCTGGTTTGATCCCCACAGCCTGAACTCTAGGTCCTATGGGTTAAGATGCAGAAGTAGATTTCTCCATTGTGAGATCAATGATGTTCAATTATTAATTATAAAAACCCAATTCAGAATTTTTTTTAGTGATGCAACGTTTTGCATCACAACCTGATAAAAGGTCCTATGGTCAAAGGCAGTGGTGTCAAAATTACACACATTTTTTAGTTAAGTAGAAGTATAGATACTGCAGTTTAAAAACACTCTGGTAAAAGTTGAAGTATCAATTTCCCCTCTTTACTCAAGTAAAAGTGAAAAACTATGTGCTCCAAAAACTACTTGAAATATGAAAGTATAAAGTAACCTTTAAAAAAAAACAGCTAGATGTCATTCTATGAATTGAAAGCTCAATTTTTCGACTATTTCGAAAAATTCTTTGAGATAGGTTCAAGGATGAGGGAGGTCTTTATGGTCTCCATCTCAATCTCCCGATACGCTCGCAACCTTTTTCTGAATCCTACATTGTAGCATGGCATAGACAATTCACATTTGCAGTTTGAAGAAAACCTGCTTGCTTCTGATCATTTCCTTTAGCTAACCAATGAGTGTTTGCGTTATATGACTTATCCAATTACACTAGTTTTCACTAGATGTGGATGGCGCCAATGATCTGCAATGATGGCTTACATGACGTGAAATAAATATTTATAAACTTTAAACCGAAGCCAAGAGTAACGAGTAATGTTTGTTTTAAAAGTGTAAGGAATAGAAAGTACAGATACTTGTGTGAAAATGTAATGAGTAGAAGTCGGAAGTAGGAAGAAAAATAAGTAATGGAGTAAAGTATAGATACCTAAAAAGTGTACTTAAGTACAGTAACAAAGTAATTTTGCTTTGTTACTTGACAACTCTGGTCAAAGGCTGTTCCTGCGTTAAGGTTCACTTCATGTGAAACAGTTAAGCACAGGTGAAGTGAAAAACACTGCTTCCCCTGTTGGTGCACGTCGGGATCTGAAGACCGTCTTACATTTGCAAATTGTCTTGGCCAGACGACTGGGTTGAAAAATCTCCAAAACAGCAGCTTTTTTTCTTTTTTTTAAGTTCCCTGTCTGAAATAGCCAGTGTTTAGTATCAAAAAGTGGCCCAAGGTATGAGCAGGGTTTTCAGTTTCAGTAGGGTAACAGGTGGCCAAGGCTTACCAACACAGGGTGTGGGAAAATTATTCTGTGGTCCAAGGTGTGAGCCGCATTGGTTTAAATTGCTGAGAAATGTTGCACCTGTTTTGATGAAGGGCTGCTTTGCAGTTTGTTGCACTCTAGAGCAGCTGCAGAACTGCCAAGAGTCTCGCACTGTCACCTGGCAAAAGGTGCATTAGAGCTGACCCATGGAGGGTTTGAGGAAGATGGTCTGGTCTGTGGGTGTTTGTGTCTCTCATGTAGGGAATGTGTGGTACAAGGAGTAGCACACTACAGGCTTTGAGCTGTTCAATTGGACCCTAGATTTCTAAGGACCCAGTCTACTGGACTATGCCGTGACTAACTAGGTAGATCCCGACTAGCCCAAGGTACAACTTGCAAAAGCAAAAGAATATGTTGCTAACATCTTGGAGCCAGATCCCACGGCACAGCTTTATGGATGCAGTGGCATCATCTGGTTGTTTGAAAGCAAAAGATGGACCAAGACCGTCTTTATAATGTTACTCATGACTATGTTTGTTCCCTGGTATAATTTCTGGCATTTAAGATAGGCAGATAAAAAATGACAAAATCTAAAAGAATAAGGGAAAAAATATAAGCCGGCATTAGCCAGGCTGATATGTGTACACGTATTAATCTGGCTAGGCTCAGTGGGAAAGTGTTCACAAAAGGGCGGGACATTCAGTACAATTCTTGTAGCTGATTGGGTAAATCATCTAGTGGTTTTTGCCTGCATTCGCACCTTTAGCCATCACAGCACTAGTAGCAGCTGGGCCGTTTCACATTATTGATTTGTTTCACAAGTAGCTGAGTTAACTGACAAACATCTTTCCATCCACAAAGGCAAAAATTGCATCCTTTAGCATGTTTTTCTGAAAGGAATAAAGAGTATTCCAGCTAAAACCGGTGCAGCCATTTTTGATTTGCTTTAGCCATTCGCCTCTGGTTGACACTTTTCATTGAATTTCAGTGGTCTGAAACATTTCTGTATCGAGGCTAATACATCTGCTGGATTCTGGAAAGATGTATTTTTGGGAATTTGTGAATTCACAAATCTTGTGATGATTCATCTTGCTTGCATGGTTTGAAAAAAAAAAAAAAGATTTTTAAGCAATTTTATCAGTTTTCAGTTAAATATTTATTCATTTATTTTTTTTTTTTTATTTGAGGACCTGAGTGGAATCCAAGCTAATTGTAGGAATATTGCATATATCAAAGGTTAATTATGTTTTTTTTTTGCACTTCATGCAGCATCAGGTTTTGGTTGAAGTTAACAGCGAGTGTCTGTAATTAAAATTTTAAAAGGTATTTTAATCCAATCTTTGTTCTACATACATTTCTAGGTGACATAAGTTTGTGTTTATATAAATAAACTTTATTTACCCAGAAAAAAAAAACCTAATTGACCTCTAAAATCAAATTTTTAAGAGGGACCTGTGAGGACCGCGGCCCCATTTACAAGTACCTGCATTTAAATCATGCAGTGACATATATTCTTTTGGCTTTTAGAGCATAAAAGCATAAAGTAATATATACTATTAAAAACATGACTGACAAAGGCAAGTACTGTTAACTACAAAGTTCGTTTAAGTTGTTCTTTTTGCTCATATTTCAATGTTTATTTTGCCGCATATTATTAAATATCCCAGAAAATAAATGTCTCTTAAACTAAGCCAAAGTCTGTGGAAACGTTTAAGATCTGTTGGTCAAGATCCCTTTAAAAACATTGTGATATAATGTCTGTCTCTTAAGAAAATAAGGAAGTAAAGAAAGGCTTAAGAGCTGCTTGTCTGGTTTGTGGTTAAAAAATATTGCAAACAGACTTATTCTCAAACTGTTTTTTTAGCCTCTCTGTGTGTGAGAAATGTCTTAACCATTGATTACAATTGTAGTGAGGTCATCAGGGTGTTTTCCATTAGTAAAAGAAAAGAAAACACATTAGATCTAATCAAAACAGAGTAGTTGAGTTTATAAATTCTCTAAATTCATAATTTTTTACTTAGATTCATTTCTGTCCTCTACAGCTCAGACCTCTGACAAACATTTGCCTCAACAGCAAAGTTCTCGAGTTGAGGTAAAATGTTTTTAAAGAATAAGCTTATTCAGTTTACTTTTATTTTGATATTTTCTTTTCTTTAACAAACTGATTTTCTTTTCCTCTATTTAGGAAACTAGACAAGTGCGGCCCTGGAACGCTGGTAAGAAACCAAAAACATTAAATTAAATTAAATTAATTTATATAGTGCCAAGTCACAACAGGAAGGAACTTCAGAGACATTTCAACCAGATCATACAGTCGGATTGGTTCAAAGTTTTCTATTTAAGGAAAGCCAGCTGATTGACTCGACACCATTCCCTCACACCAAGCATGGTTGTACAACAGTGGAGAGGAGAAACTTCCTTTTAACAGGAAGAACTTTTTAACCTCCAGCAGAATCAGGCTCAGTGTGAGCGGCCATCTGTTGAGGCCGACTGGGTATCGAGGAGACAGAAGTGGCAAAAGAAAAAGATACAAAAGGCAACTGTCAATCAGCTCCACAGGCGGCCCTGTCCAGGAAACACAGCCAGGCAGACAACCTCCGAGCAAGCTCCCATGTCAGAGCATGAATAGAGAGCACATAGTTAGTCACAGTCAGAGTAACAGGACTACACTGAAAAAACAAGCTCCATCATCTATAAACAAAGGTGTTGATGGCAGTTACACAGCTGATATTTCTCTCCAGGATGGTGTCACAGCCAAACAGGAACAGACCAGATGTAGCTACTTTGAAGAGAAAAAGCAGGGAGCGCATAATGTTAGATTTGAACTAACAAATACTCTAGAATGGGAGAATAGAGATAGAATGATGAAATGAGGTGCTTATGTCCTCCAGCATTCTAAGCCTATAGCAGCACAAATACAGGAAATGGCTCAGGATAACCTAAGTATTTTGGATGAGGTGTAAGAAAGGTAGAGCCACAGTGTGGCTAAGGTAGAAACAAGGAGATATGTCTATCCAGAATGAAATTCTCCTCCATTTATCTCTCTACTTTTTAGCAGGCATCCTAGCGGTTAAGTTTTTAGCTAATAAGAATGGACTGTAATCTGTCTCTCTCTGTGTGCACCATATAGCAGTGACCTCTGGACACAATTCATCACAACAAATTTGTCGAACTCTTGTGAGTAAACAGGTTTTTTTTAAGGAAAAGGCTCACAATTTCTATGTTTTTTTACAAATTGAGTTGTTCTGATGACCATCTGCTTTAACCAGGCAATTGGGCAAAGACAGACTCATCACTTTGGTAAGACACTCTAAACAATTAAAGCTATACCTCTTTCTGCAAAAATACCCTTCCATCTCTCTGTAACAGATAACTAAATAACGTTTGAGAAGCCCTGCAAAACACTTAGGTACTTTGTGCATTGTGTCATGTTGCTCTTTTTTTGCAGGCACTGTACAGGCACCATTACCTGTGAGCAGAGAACCAAGCAGTGGGGTAAATATTACTCATCCGTAATGCATGCTTATGGTTGTAGTCAGAGGTTTATATAAACTCATCAGGGTAATGAAGGTCAATGAATTTACAGCATGGAATATTTATATAGTATGCAACTAAAAATAGAAACAAAAGACCTGCAAGAATTAAAGGGTTCATAAGGACTTGTTTATCTACAAATATGCATATATGTCATTAATGTTACCGGTAACTTGATGATCTAGTAAGTGCTGCCGAAGTGCAGTGATTAATTACTTCTAGTCAATTGTCTATTACCTTGTACATAAAAAAAACTATCTATTGCATTCACAATTTTTTTTTGAAAAATGGGAGTGTGTAAGCAATTTAGTTCTAATTTAAAAGGGAAACTGGTTGATTTTGAAGTAGGGAAGTCACTTCTTAGTAATTGCAAGTTGCAAGAGCATGAAAAATCATGCATAGGTTTGTATACCACTAAACAGAACTCCAAATTTCTCCAAGAAATTAATCGGTAATGCGAGTGTAGAAGTATCCAAAGTTTTCACGTTTGTTTGGATGTTTTTAGAACAATAATGATCCTAAACAAACTGAAAATTGGCTCTGAATAGAAGCCTTGCCCACCAACCGCCAGTAAAAGTTTTGTCCAATAATATATAATCATTTTAAATGACTCCATCGATTCTGTCCAGAAGAGATGTCAGACATCTAACCAAAATAAAAGCAGAAGATTGTTAATAACTTTAAAAAGTATCCTTAAGGTGAAGCTTGAGAAAAATACTCTCTAAGGGAGGATTTAGAAACTTTTTTGCGGCTTGAATTAGTTTTGGTTGCAATCAAATCATCTGAAGTCATTCTAGTCAACTAAAAAATTAAAAAGTACACTACATTTTAAATTCATGCTTCAGAGTTGCTTGGATCTGCGGAGGATTTTTTCCAACTCGTCCTGTCTTTCCACTTGATTAAAACTAAATATGATTGGATTTTATCTAATGTGATTTCATCTAATGTGTATTTGTTAAGAAAATGTTTTTTAGTTTTGACGCAGCTTTATCACTTGTGATGAATTTGTGATATAACACATTTATAACACATGATTCCTTTTTTTCTTTTGACATTTTAAGGTTCAACTGGAGCAGTACAGCTTAATGGCCGATCCGAGAGGAGTTTGTGTAATTATTGATTGTGTGGGTAAAGATGGAGGTGAGATACATTTATTTATATAAATATAAAAATGTTGGGATTCACCCAAAATACTGCCTTTGATAAATCAAATGTAGGGGCATTTTGGTATAATAATAACATGATATAAGGAATGTAATGTGGTTTTCATTTTAATGGGATTTTTAAATTTAGATAAAAAAAAGCAAAACTTTGAACCTCAAATATTTCTAAATGTGTTACTTAGAACAAACAGATGGGAAAAACATTAACATTAACTCCCACATGTAGATCTATAATAGACCTTCAAATAAACTCAACCATCTTTTATGTCCTGAAACATAATCTCACCATTAAAAAATGTTTGTGTTTCTTCATCTATCTAGTGGTTAAACAAAATTTCATCATAAATACGTGTCCTTTTAACACAGTGACTTGTGGCCATATAAGTTGTATTACTATCACTTCCCTTTAACCGATGTAAAAGAAGCATTTTTATATTCAAAAAACCTTTTTAAAAGTGAGTCAAATTTACTAGAAATGTCTGACTTTAAACAAATTACTTTCTGTTTCTGGGAATGCAACTTATGACCACTGTTAGATACGTCTGGAAACCCCGAGAGTTTTGAATAAAAATATTAAGAGTGAAAATATCCAGTGGGCTTTTAACTGAAATCTGGTCATCTGTAGAATAATCCAGAACATGCATCACAACACAGAAATACCACCACCATCTCCTCCACCAAAACTAAAACCAACAGAAAACCGATGCGCTAAAGAAAAGAGAATTAGAGAGAATCCAAGGTTCTGGAGAATCTGTGTAATGAGGAATTAGGGAAGATCCCTCTCTCCTTTGAAGCTTTGTGAATTAAAAGGGGGATTTATAAGCTGTTCAAAGCAGGATACCAATCATTTATTAAAGTTATCAATGTAGGAATGCTTTAATTTCCACTAAATAATAAAAAAAGTAATTAAACATTAATTTAATCAGATCACACCAATGCTGGAAAAGTTTTTTGCAGATGTTTTCCACAGGTGCCAATGAGCTGATCCAGATCTAGATGATATTAAGTGTTATGAATTTAATCTCCTGATGTTTTTCTAATTTTCTTTTCTTTTTTTTTTTGACTCCTCAGAAATGTTAGAAGCAGCATTTAAGACGCTCCACTTCAATGTTCTTCTTTACCAGATGCTTGGTGCTGATGAGATTTTCAAAACTCTCAAAGACATCTCTAAAAACAGAGAGAGTTTACGAGGGGATGCTTTTATCTGCTGCATCATTAGCCGCAGCACGGCTAGCGACTTACTGGGTACAAACACGCACAGCAGGGGGATTTCTATGGACTTTATCAGACAGCTGTTTTTAGCCGACGTTTGCCCCGTGCTGGCCGGCAAGCCCAAACTCTTCTTCATCCAGGGCTACAGAGTTTCAGAGATGGCCAGAGTGGAGGATGAGCAGGGGCAATTGGAGGAAGACGGCTGCCAAAGCAGTCCTACGACTCATTACATCCCCAAAGAAGCAGACGTATTATGGAGTCAATCTTGGACGGATGAGTATCAGCTGCAAAAAGAGCAACATCGCTCAGTTTACCTGGAAACGCTGACTGATGCCTTGAGAAAAGCCCAGAGGTGATGGTAGCAAAGACACACCACTGAAACCTAACCCACACCTGGCGTCATGCTGCACTGTTCACCTAATCTGTATCTTTTGTGTCTTGACAGGAAAATGAATCTGCTTGATGTTGTTATGGAGGTGAACGGGGCCATCTTTGACCATAATGAAAAAAATCCTGAAGCAATCTACAGCTGTGATGTGAGGCATACTCTGCGGAAAAAACTTTACCTCCAATAGAAATGTGACAGATCATTGTTTAGGAGGTACCTAATACTGTGGCACTAAACTCACCATATGCCTTCTGAAGAACATGTTTTCTGTGTATACACTGACTCCTAGTGGTTAGAAAGAGAAACGACACTACAGTAGCATTAAGGCGAATGAAAAAACCCATAGTACAGTAGATCTGTGTATTTCAGTGATTCTAAGAGTGAAACTCCTAATGTATAGATTTATTACACACGAGGCTATATAATTCATAGAATTATTACACACACAAGGATATATTTATAGTATTTATTTTGTTCCTTTTGATAATTATATTTGACAGCTCACGAAAACCTAAAACTCAGTTTCCCAGGAAATTATACCTTTAATAAAATACAATTGTTAATAGAGAGATATCTAAAAACTAAAATCATTTTGGGGCTTTCTTTTTAATGGGTTACTGCTTCATCTTCTGTTTCATCTTTCTCTTGAAAAACTCCAGAAATGTCCGTTTTTAGATTAAGCCAGATTGACACCATGTTGATTAAACTAGTAGCTAATATTTCTGTTTTATGAGAGCAGGTGCCAAGAAAAGCTGGGATATGAAAAGAATTCCTCCATAACTTTTTCAGAAGCATAAAACATGGAGTTCTAATCCCTGAATGTGATACTCACACTTGACCTTGGACTCTCTGCCTTTCCGCTCTTCTTCTAGATCTGTTGACCTTAATTTCCTAACCAAATACAAAACATACTTTCATCTGCAAAGTATATTTTGGTCCGCCGATCAACCTTTTGCCCTTCGCTCAGTTTGGAAGCTTCCCCAAAAACAAGGAAACATCTGTATGTGATGCACTTGATGCACTGACTTCAGCTGCCATCAGTGCCTTGTGGTTTCCCCCTACTATCCAAAATGCTTTAAAAAAATGAGTTTACTTTATTATTATAAGTTGTTACCTCCCCTCTCTGTGGAGTTTGCCACTGTCGCGTTAAAATCAGCATGATTCTGTTGGCCATAACATCTCTATAGAATAATCCTCATCTTTTTGTCTAATATATTTGTATTTGCTATAAACTGATTTTTAGGTTTTCATTTAAATATAAAAAAATTGCATCTACATACTTTTACTTTTCAATTAAATTACTGAAATTATTATTTATAACCTTTTAATTATAATTCTTATTTCCTGTGAGGCACCTGCATATTAAACTATGTTCATATTTATGTATTTATTTATTTAAACTTTTTAAACTCTGCATATTCTACGTATATTTCATCACAGTCTGAAAGCTACTTTTGGTTTTATTTTACTAGCATTACAAATGCCATTAATAACACCGGTGCCTTGCTTTGATAATGTTTAATTTGCAATACTTTACTTTTATTTGTTAAAATCACAGTCAGATTTGATTTTTGTATCTAATCTGATTGTGTTTTTGTATCAACAATCTTCTGCTTTTGTAACTTTGTATCAAGTTTTTAGTTTCCTTTTTTCTTTCTTTTTACTGAAAAGTGTATTCAGAAAAGATTAATTGAAAATGATTTTTTGAGTAAATTCTTTATGTTGGCAGCTCTTGAATTAACAGGTAAAAATGTGAAGAAGAAAAACTCTGATTCTACCCTAAGCTACCATTATACCCTGATGTGTTTTTTCTTAACATGTTGATTTGTATCTGTATCATGACATGCAGCTAAAACAGTGGGTGAGTTTGAAATGTGATGAAGACCATATTATAAAATCCTTTGTTTTATACAACCAATGTTTTATAGGGTGTAAAATAAAATGAGTGATGTCAAACTAGTTTTTAAAACAGGTTTTCAAGGGGGATGTTTTTTTTTTATCATTTACTTTACCAAGAGCAAAATGCTGTTGTGTTATTTTGCCACTTTTTACATTTTCATAAAACATGTGCCACTGCTTTATGTCATTATATGCCTTTTTCAAAAGGCTGAATAAAATGCTGCGATGGTTCGGATTCAGCCTGCAGACCATGAGTTTACTATAATATGATAACAAATTTATTTGACTTTTTTGTGACTTTTTATCAATTTAAATATAGTTAAACAACCAAACCATCACATCATTTATTAAAGCTACTTACAATTACTTTTCTCTCCAGATCGGACAGATTGTGGACCTAACTCTGACACCAATAAATGTGTAACAAGGGTCAAGTAGAAGCTAATATTTTCCACCATTTATAATCTATTCATTTTATTGTATTTTATTCACATCAAGACCAGATATTTACTCCAGTTTGTTTTACTATCAAAAGAAACCCAATAAGTTGTTGAGTTGCAGCATTCTGGTCTTCTTCTAGGATTACCATATAAGCCTATCGCCCTGTGTTAATTTTATTTGGCATACTGGCTGTGCATTTATCAACAGAACAGTGGAAAGGATAAATCCCTTCAACAGGAAGAAACCTCCAGCAGAACCAGGCTTAGGATGAACAACCATCTGCCACTACTGGTTGTAGGTTTAAGAAGGCAGAGAATACTGACAAAGAATGCAAATATGAATTGAAATTGGAACCTTCTTTCTGCAAGGCTACAGTGCTACAAACTGCATCACCATGCAGACCTTTAATTCTTCACTAGTTACTTAATCTTTGACATCACTGCATGAAACCTGATGGCTGACTTTGCTATTAATACTAATTAAATCCAGTTCTCACAGTCTGTCTTCCGGCATGGAAGATCTCGATTGATTTAAGCATGAAAATGCTGAACAGCCGATGCAGACTAACTGAAGAGCTATCCAAAGAGTTGGGTAAAATCAGTTCAAATGGCATCTTTAGGAATGTATGTTTTAGAAAGCTTTTCTTTCCATGTAGACGGTGCAAGTTCCTTACTAACCAACAGTTTTCCAGAGATTGGAATCTCTGAAAAATGTACACTGGTTTACCTCCATCTGTGCATAAAGATGCCCCAAAACCAATTAAAAAACTTTTTTTGCTTGTATCGGTAATGCTTTCTATATGATCAAAAATATATTAATGTAAAATACATGCATAAATGATCTTGACATTTTTTTGTTTTTGTTGCAGAAATTTTATTAAAACCATACATGGAAAAAAAGTTAGAGTTTATTGAATTTAACTGTTTTTAAAATAATTTTGTAATTCTTTATGTAAGACTTAAATTATTCATAAAGCACCTTAAGAGAAGTAAATAAGGGTTAGGAGTAGTAAGGGGGGCTTTTAGTGAGCCCAAGTGTCTTAAGCAGAGAGAAAGGTGGAATCTGTCACAGTCTTGGTTCTGTTATCTTTTCTCTTGAGTATTCAGTTTTACTTTGCTCCATGTTTTCTAGTTTTATTGGTTTAATTCTTATTTTGTTGTGTTTTCTGGTAATATTTCAGGTCTCAGGTTTTTATGTGTTGCCCTCTACTGCCCTCTTGTGTTCTCCTTTTTTCCCTAGCTCCTTCCCAGTCTGCTCTGTTCACACCTGCTCCCAATCTGCTCGTTAGTCCTCTCTCTTACCTCGTCATTATTGTTTTTTTCCTGAAGTCTCCATGGTTTCTGGTTTGTTTTTCCTTTTTCCTATTGGATTTTTTGGATTCCTGCCTCAGTCGTAAATCTACAAAAACTCACCTCTGCCTCCCTGCCTCTGGTATGGGGCCTCAAACCAAAACCAAATCCTGACAGAAACAAAATATTGAAATGCTCACAATGATCAACATTTTAAAAGAACTGGAAAAGCTGCAGGAAAGTATTCAAATACACTCTCTAGATAAAGTACATTTACATAGGGAAGGTGTAAAATCTGTGAGAAAGTACTTGCTTTATTATACTGTAACCTAATTATCTAAAGTTAGCTTGTGTGATACCATCTGCTCTTTGGCTTTTCATTGCAGAAAACACTTGTGTCATTATTTGGAAAAAACATGGATTCTAATACCACATTTTAACCTCATACGTCATAAAAGAAGGGTGTGTTTTAAGAAACTCGCCAAACTAGTCATTTGTATATCTGTTACAATTATTTTTACATTGATTGACTTTATTGATCTCACAGTGGAGAAATGTACTTGTTATTTTACTTAAGTTGATTTCTGCCGTATAAGCAAAAGATAAAATGGATTCTGAGGGGGTGTTTTAGGGATATTGTTAACCCTAGGAAATTAGATTTTACCTTAATTTCATCTCTCTTGAGAAAAAAGTTTAACCTCTGCTCACAGAAAGCTCTGACTTCTGCTGCAGTCTGCAAGTTTTAAATGGGACTTTACTGTCAAGCTGTGATTATCTCTTCGAGTGTGTACATTATTCTAACTCTTTTTCCTTCCTGTCAATGTGTCATTAATATGCTACAATACAGAATTCTATTAACAGTCAACTTACACTCCTCATTCAATAATTAAAATATTATTAAAAAGTGATACACAAAAAAGCCCCCCACGTTATCTATCAACTATTGTTACCCATTCTAGGTAGGCAATAAAAAGTTCTACTGGATTCACTTTGTATTAGTCTTTTTCCTGCTTCACAAAGGTAGGCAGCAGCTTGACAAAGCCATGATGGCAATTATTTTACATCCAAGTAGTATGCAGGTCTTTATTTATACACACACACACATCAATTTCTAACAGATGGTATCGGTATCGGCTCATACTATACAGCCAGGTATCAGAAACGGGGCCAAAAAATTGCATTGACACAACACTAGTAATAACATAATGTTTTTTAAGTATTTATTTCTGTTTTTAATGAACACTTTTGACTTGAAACTAATGAAACCCTTATTTTAAGATTAGATTATTACATGCATCAAATTAATGTTGCAGTAATAGTTAAATAATTTCCACTGCTTGTCGGTTTACTACATCTTTAACACAATTATTGCAAATCAATCTCAGCAAGTAATTGTATTGAAACACTATACTCAGACATTAAATAATAAGACAGTTATTAAAATATCCATTACGCTTATCTTAGCTTATTGATATCTTGCCCCCTCTTATAAAGAAATATTTGAACAGTTATATTTAGCAGATAATGCAACTTTAAAGAGATGTTTGTTAAAAGTTTATGTCAGAAATGTGTTTTCGTACCGCGCACAATGTGCAAACAGATGGTAGTGCTGCTGTGGAGGGTTCATTTGCCAGTTGGAGCCCAAATGCTGTTCATTCCAGCTCTAATTGTGTATAGATGATTAAAAAAGCTATACATTTTAGCCTTGAAAAATAACACTGTCTCCCTGTCAGGGGCAGAGTTAGATGGGGCGCCAGGGGTGGCCATGGCCACCCTAAGCCAATCATTGGCCACCCCTACCATTTTTTCCCCCATAATATTGACAGTGGCAGCAGTAATACTCTCAATATTCAAAACATTTAAATTTTTCATAGATTAATTACTTGACAACAAAAATACTGGTTAATTATGCACATCAATATACGAACATTAAAGATTATAACTACAGAATTCATGCTCTTTTCAGAAGTAGATTTTGTGTTATATGGGGTAAAGAGAAAATGCAAGTCAGTCTTCAATTAAATCATAGATAAATAACTATTCTAATAAAAAGTTAGTGAATAAACAATTTTTGTGGATGTAAGTACTTGTAAATATCAATTTTATGCAGAATGATTATTGATAAAAGCAGGTAAGTAATGACAATGGAAAAGATGTTTGACCCAGAACTCAAACCTGAAAGAACTTTATCCACTTTACCTTTTTTCCAGATGGATGTTTAAATATATGCGTCTTATTTTTATTTTTTTTAGCAAAGGCTGTAGAAAAGAGTTGTTTGTCTTTATTTGGAAAATAAGGTTATTGTGGTTGTTTATTTTCCTGTTGGATCAATATAGATTGACCCTAAATTTCTGCTGCAGATGTGCTTTCGGCCACCCTTACAAAAATATTCTGGCTACGCCTCTGCTCCATAATTTAAATGTTTTTCCACTCGAACTTTTTTCCTTCCACTCAACTTTCCTTAAACATGCAGTCATGCCGCCTGTGTTCAGATGTCTTTGCTTATAGTTTCTCTAAATTTTAAAGGCGCTGCCGAGAGTTTAGGAATGCTTTCTAAATCTGACTTTTGTCAATGCTTAAAAACAATGTGACAGTAGGAGGCAGGCAAGCTGTATGAGCAGCTTTGTTCAAATCACGCACACACAGATTACCCCTCGTGAGCGCGCACTGAGGACTGTTGTTGCTATGATGCAATGGCGACTGCGCCGTGGGAAGCAGGCGAGGAGTTGAATGAGTTTCCTCCACAGTTGAGGAGAAGCTGCCGCCGACAGCCACGGACACACTCAGAGAAACCTTCCCGGACTCGTTGCATGGAAACCCGGAGCCAGGTGTGTCCTCTAGCGCTGCAGCTTTGCGCGTCATGAAGGTTGGAGAGATTTCACGCACCTCTGCAGGAGAAGCAGCAACACCCTGATCGCTCCGAGCGCATTTATCTCCCATTGTTATTTAGACGCGTTTTTCCCCTCATCTGTTCTGCGGACCTTTTTCTCTACTGGAGCGCCATGGCTGAGAGAACCTCCGCCGGGTTTCTCTCCATGATGCTGGAGCCCACACCGGCGGTGGCGATGAGCCTCCCGGCGGAGGTCCGGGAGAAGCTGGCGGAGCTGGAGCTGGAGCTGTCTGAAGGTAAGTCTCTGGTTCTGCTCCAGGCTCTGTGTCTGACAGCAATCAGGACCACCGCCCTTCACTTGGACTTTAGCCTGCCAACATCATTACAGCACCTCTAATCATTTTTTAAAAGGACATGTCCCCAAAATGACTCCCTATTATGTTGTTTCCTCCCATGTCAGGCACTTAGAGGTCAGGAGGTCACAATCTAAAGTGATCCATCTTCTCTAATCCTTAAGTTTTACAATGGATCACACTCCAAAAACATCTGATCAATGGCTTTAAACCAACACTTACAACACACCCTCCATACTACAAAGACACCCCCTCCTAACTTTGTTTTAATGGTTCATTTTTAGTATTTGTAAGATTAAATATGTGCATAGTTTTATTTTGTCACCTGTAACTGGTTCTTCATAATGACTTCACTGGGGCCAAAAAGGTAGATCTAGTAACTTTGTGAAGTTTTGCCAAATATCCAGCTTATTCTTAGATCTGAGATCTTCAACTGGGGGTCCAGAGAGGTACTGCATGGGGGTCACAAAAGTTTTGGTTGATTAGACTTTTCTTTTTTTTTTTTTTTTTTCCCCCCCTGCAATTTTTTTCCACTAATTGAAATGTCTTTAAATCCACATTAAGATGAATTCAACAGACTGTAGCAAACAGATAAATGGAGGCAGAAGATGTCTTTCAGTCATTGATGCACACATTCAGCGACACACAGGAGCTCTTTTAAGCTGGGCGCCGTTTCATTCACAACACCTGTTCCATCAACCAGGAATCAGAATCAGAAATCATTTAATAATCCAAGGGTGGAATTACCTTTATTACATGACTCCATATGTCATAGAGTGACTATAGGACCAGTTTGATATAACACAATTTAATACAATATATATAACTAGGGGTCCCCGCTCCATCTCGCCATCAGTTTGGAAAACGTTGAAGACCCCTGCCTTAGATGATATGATCTCAATCATCTTTTTAAGCTCGGCAAATGTACAAAGGGTTACCTAATTTTTGTATGGTTATTTATCCTTATGTCTAAAGAGATTATATTTATTATGCTTTCATTTTTGGTAACGCTATTCGTAAGATTTTGCCAACTTACATCTCACATACCAATGGGGTTGCTTCACAATCCAAGTTCTAAGAAACTCACCGCAACTCTTACATATACTGCTGACACCCAAATTTATGCTAGATTGCTATGGTTACTGAAGGGGAATTTTATTTATCAAGATTTGAAGTTATAAAGTCGTTGAAGGAATTTAGAGTTTGAATAATTGCTGATACTAAAAAAAAAAAAGCATTTCATACAATTAACCTTAATAGTTTGTCATTATTTGAGTCATTAAAAAGGCTGTACCAAAGAGGCACTTATTTTAAATATAGTTAGAGATGATTGGAAAAGGGAATCTGGGGCTCCTTCTGTATATACTATATATTTGAGTTTGTGGAGTACCACAAGAATCAGTGTTTGTACCAAACAGTTTTTATATCTACTTATGAACAAATTATGCTAAATGTCTGCTTGTTCTCATCTTTAAAATCTACATTTTATTTGGGTGATAATTTGTAGCAATATTTCATCATGACCATCTTAAAAATGCTAATATTTTTAAGTAACATCAAGGAGTTTTAGGGAAGAATTTCCAAACGTTACTGAAAAACCACTTTATTTATTGAAAAAAAAAATAGCTATAAGAATTTTACACTGTGTTAAACATGCAGGATTAGCAAATTAGTAAAGTCTAAAAACTATTTACAATCTGCACAAGCGTTCATCTGGGATTTGACTGGATGTTTTTGCATACTGGCTTTATCAATGTATAACCAGCAGATGAAAAAAGTTGATAAAAATGATTCAACCATCTTTGTATTATTTTTTTCTCCATTGTTCTAACTTTGCTTTCAGACCTTAAAGCTCGATCCTTCCAAAGATTAGAATTACATTTCCTCATCTCGGCTAATCACAGGACTTAAAGTGACGTTGTTGTAAATCAGCTCCTTGCAGCGGGCTCATTGGTTGCTGTTGAGAAGAAATCCTCAGAATGAACTAATCTATGGTGCTCTTGAACAAAAAGAAAGAAGTGGTTGTTTTGTTCACAAAGGGCTTCTATGTCTTTTTGGGTTAATTCATTGAGATTCATTATTGAACTCTGTCCTATTATCTGGTGAAATTAGCTAAGCTTAAAAAAAAGTCCTGCTAATTAATGACCCACATTAATTCTGATTAGATTTGTCATTTGACCCCCTTTAGTTTTTTTTTTTCTTTTTTTAATGAACCCAATAGAGAATGTCAGGTTTTGACTCATATGTTTGACTCCATTTTTTCTTTTTGGTTTTACTCTTTGCTTCAGAATCCCCTCCTAGGTTAGAAGTAGACCCAAGGTGTATGCGCTTTGATAACCACATTAGCCGCCCCCACAGCCTCTAATGGAATAGACATGTTTTCAAGAGTGGCAGAGAAACTAATCTATATCTGTCCAGTTTCCTCTTCCTGCTCTCCACATGTCACATCCTGCCTTGTCGCTGTTCTGATAGCACCGTCTCCTAGCTTTTCTGCCCCTGACATTCTAAGTTGTCCCTTTCCAAGTCTCTTTTCTGTTTATCTCCAGGCCTTGCCTCGTGTTTATTTCCTTTATTTTTTCTCCATGATCAAAGAAAAGAATGTCATGTTCTGCAGGCGAAAGAGACAATGTATTTTTCGCTGCTCCCTCGCTGACTATTCCTGTCTGTTGCTGTGAACTTTTCACCCCGAAAAGATGCTCTTAAGTCGACTTTCTCCTCGCTTTGTGTCTGAGGATAGAATACTTTAAGAAGACTTATTTGATTAAAAGAGGATGACAACCTCCAAGTCCTGCGTGATTTCTACCCTCACACTTCAGCTCTTCTGCCTGACATTAAAAATCCAGACACATCTGCGTCAGATTGGAAATCGTATTTTGCTTTCTCTTGTATGCTTCATTGAACCCTTCAAAGTGTGACTGCCATTGTTGCCCACTATCTTATGCAGTGTATCAACAGGATTTGTCTTAGTAGTATCAGTTGGAGGCTATCCAGTAGCTCGGATAGGTAATATTCCAGTGTCAGCAGCTAAGGCCTGCTGATGTGTGAAATTAACACTCTGCACACTTTTATTGCTGTAATAGTAAGATTCCCTCTAGGGATCAATTCATTTTCAATTTCTCATCTTTTTGTTTGCATTTTTATAGCAGAAGTGTTTAACATATGTTGATTTGCAGCTGTTTAGTTCCTTTTCTTTAAATAATGCACCAGAATATTTGCAAGTGAGGTTCCTAAAATGACAAACAAAACTTCTGTAGGTGCTTTAGTGAGGAATATGAGTGTTTTATTTCAGCTTTGGTTCATAATTATCATCCGGATAACTTTCAGAGGCTGAATTCTACAATCAAATCTCCGCTTTGTGGCTATTAGAAAGAACCTGCTATTTCTCAGCTGACCTAAATGCAGATGATGGCCAAAAGATGGGGCATAAAGAGGCCAAGAAGATGGATGATCCACATTATCTCCTGCAGGGAAGAAGTAGGGAGCGAGACGTGTCTGCTGAGTAATTCATAGGGCTTAGTCGATCATTCCCTGGTTTTTCCGCCCTCCTCCTCTATTTGCTCTCTAAACCCTCCGATTACAAAGTCATTTTTAGTCCAGCACTGTGGAAGTTTGCATGGGTAAATGCCAAAGCTTTGAGTTGTCACTGGGCTGGTTTTATACTGCTGCCATTCAGCAAACATTTACAGGTGCTTTACATAATATGTCCTTTGACTTGTTTACGGTTAACTGGAAGCACAGATGTGCTGGAAGGGTTGTTAGAAAGAATGGATAACATATTTTATGAAAACGCATCTATAAAAACATATTAAAATACCCTTTATTGTGAGGATGTAGGCTAGATTTTACCTCTGACCTAGAATCCGCTGCTGGTTTGACCCAATTTTCCCCACAGAGATCATTAAAGTTTCACCGTTTATCTAATCTGCTAGATAAGGTAGAGCTCAATTCCCTCTATAATAGCAGACGGAGAAGTCTTTCATAAAGTAATAGTATTCATAAGGTGAAGACAAATGACTTTTATTATAGTTTCAATACATTTCAAAGGGATATTTTTAAAACTATGTTTCTATGAAATAATTTTAATGTATATGCAGAGTTTTTACAGCAACTAGTGGCTATTTTTTCCACAGTAGGCTGACAGGAAAGGGGGTATAAGAGACGGGGAGAAACATAGGGACTAAGGCACTAAGGACTAAGGCTTCCGTACACGCAGCTGTTTTTCCATCAGAAATCAATGAAAATATACCTATAGATGAAGTAGAGAGAAACTGATACATGGTCTATCTTTTTATTAGAATGAATTGACTATCTTATTCACCCCCTTTTACAGCGATGCTGCTAAATAAACTCTAGTGCAATGAAAAGAAGTCTAAATGATGGATTATAGAACATATTGAAATTTGGGTGAATTTTAAATGAAATTATGTATTGTATACCTTTGGAGGAGCTGCAGTGATCTGCAGCTCAGGTGGGAGAATCCATGAATAGGAGAATGATTTATTGCATGTTCAATCATTTCTGGTCTTTGTGGAGGAGTGGCCAGAGGAAAGCAGCTGCTGAATTTAAACTTCAACTTTTTGAAACTACAAGTGAAAGATGTTGTGTGGTCCAGACCTAACAGTGCACAAACAAATGGACAAGGTCATTCTCATCCTTTATACTTTATCATCGTTTTAAGAAAAGTTCATGTAAAAAAAAAAAAAAATCGGAGGTGTATGAGTACTCGCTGCACAATAAAGCTAAGGAGTATTTCAACAATAGGATTTTTCTTTTCTTTTGTCAGGGTATGTTTTCCATCTGAGCCTGGAGCTCAGTCCTTGTTCTGTAAGGAGGGTGTGGTTAGACGATAGCTTTGGTGGCCAACTCTTTGTAAACCTTCTCTTTGGAAAGTATGACTGTTCAGGAAACCCCAGTGAGCTGGACTCGAGGGTTTGTTGAGAAAA